TGCCTTAAGAAAAGGAAGTGTTTTGAACAGTGGTAATACTTATCAGCCCAGACAAGTACCAGAGGGCAGTCTCAATTAAATGTGCTATCACTATTTCCTGCCACACTGAAATTAAATTGGGAAATCTGAAGAATGGATATGGAACTGTTGTGCATAATGTGACTTCATTTTAACCCGATTTGTTGTCTTGCAATATTCTGCCTTTTTGCGGTTGTGATGTTAACACGTTCTTAGTGCAACAAATGTAATGCTTGGATCCGTTAGATGATCCAATGGTAGCATTACAAAGAAACAGGTTTAATTTCACTCCTGAACCAGATACACATATCTGTCATAATAAAGGAGGTAAAAATGAAAGTAATGTCCATTAGGAGAAACTTGGAAGGAATAGTCAAGAATTAGAGATATTGCAAGGGCAGAAATGAAAGATCAAGTGAAAAATAATCAATGTGTTTTGCCCATTTTGTTTTTACTGCAGCGCATCAGTAATTTCAGTACTCTAATGGAGGAATGTTTCGTTTGTTCTGTAACTGGGTAAGCAATGATCAACCCAGCTCCCAACTTTCTGTATGTAAACAGAATAAGAAATGAATATTTTTAAGTGCTATATAGTGTCCCTTGGATCCTTCATGAAGATCTATTTGAATGTAGATAGTGGGTTGGAAAGCCAAATGGATTCAGTTAGGAAATACTTCTACCCCTTTTTGAATATAACTTTTCATAAATGTCTCCCAGCCTTATGCCTGGAATTTCCCGTATTCAGCCCCCTTAAACAGCATCTGGGCAGCAACTGCTGAAATGTCCAGGAAAATCCGGATGTATGGGGGGGGGGAGCTCAACAACTTTCCACTTTTTGAAATATGGCAATCCTTCATGTGTTTCTGCACCCCCTCTATGTATATGTTTCTCAGTTTAACAAGGCAATTCATTCACTGAAACCTACTTCTTCCTATGTAGATCTCATTTGCTGCATGTTTCTATGGGTGACAAAAAGAAATAAATTAGAGCACGGTTGATGTGTGCTTATATCCTCTAGCTCTTAGTGCTGATTAAGGGTCCTTTGTTCTGCACAGCAATTTATTTGCCTTACTTTTAAAAAGCGTTCCCCCACCCTCCTCACCTCTCAGAAGGAAACTTGTTTTAGACAGAACATCTACAATTCCAAAGTTTCAGAAATATCTATGGCCACTCTGGGCGGCTTACAGCACAACAAAGCATCAAACATTAAAGAACAAAACAAATAAAAAACAAACACACCAAGAAACCAATAACATTTACCCAGTTGTCCCAACCCAAGAGTTCCAGCAATGTCCCTCCAGCCTCCCAGGAGCTTCTTTTAGGAAAGACACAAAGTGGCTTCTAATTGTAAGTATAAATATAAATATGCATCTATGAATACAAGGGAATAATACAAAATGAGATTAAAACAGCAGTGACAATGTCAATTAAAAAAAAAAAGTACTCTGTATTTTGGGTCTATGGACCACAATAAAGTTGTGTGTGTGTGTGTATGTATATATACAGTGGTACCTCAGGTTACATACGCTTCAGGTTACAGACTCCGCTAACCCAGAAATAGTACCTCGGGTTAAGAACTTTGCTTCAGGATGAGAACAGAAATTGTGCTCCGGTGGTGCAGAGGCAGCAGGAGGCCCTATTAGCTAAAGTGGTGCTTCAGGTTAAGAACAGTTTCAGGTTAAGAACGGACCTCCGGAATGAATTGAGTACTTAACCTGAGGTACCACTGTGTGCGTGTGTATATATATATATGTGTGTGTGTGTGTGTGTGTGTGTGTGTGTGTATATATATATATATACACAGACAATACAGTGCCATGCATTCCAAATTCAAGCATAATAGAATGGTGGGTTTTTTTACTGTGGCCCTTATTGCTAACACAAAAAATAAGAGAGTGCCAAGTCAAAACAAATTTGATTTTTTTTTTAATACCATGAAGAATTATTATTCTGAGTCACTATTTCCATGACAGCTAATTATCACACCTGTAGTCCAGTGACACACATTATAAGTCTCTCCAGTGTTTGGGCAATGTCAATCTAGCTGCAATGAACAAGTGGCCAATTGTTTAGCTTTTATTTTTTGATTTCAATATACAAGTGCTTTCAGCTTGCTTGGACAAAGGGATGCAAATGCTTCAGTAAATGGAAAGCCAGATGATGATCCCAGAGAAAGGCACTAAAAGAATAAACTTTCTCATACGATTTGATACAATTGGTCCATGTTTACTCCTGACAGGTCTCTGCAGTGTCTGGCTATGAGGCTTCTGGCTGCTGAGAGTAGGTGGGCTATAAGCTCTCTACAATGTGAGTGGTCATTATGCTCTTAGAAGATGTTCAGCAGGGCCAATTCTGGGGTGAGTTCTAATACCTGTTTAGTTATTTTGCATATCTCTTGTAGAACAGCTGTCCAGGAGGGCTGGATTTTGTTGTCACACATTGATCTACAGACTTCACTAGTGTTTTTAGATTCTGGCTCTGCAATATGATTTAATGCATGAAGTTTGGGTTGGCTTTGGGATGGCACATTGCGTGGACAGGCGGAGTCCCCCAAACCCTGGGTGGCCCCCATGACTCAAGACAATGTGCTATGGGATTAAAATTGGCCACAACTTTATTACGTTTCAGATGTGGGTAGACCTGGGCTCAGGCATTGGGCGTTTATCCCTCCCAGTCCCCCGCTGGGGATCTGGGGAACATCAGGGTTATCCAGAGTGTGTGGGGGGATAGGCTGGCTCTGGAAAACATATGTTCAAGCAGAGAAAGCCCGCCCCCATTACGCCACCGTCGCATGGGAGAGCAATGACAACCTCTAGGCGTACAGCCAAAGCCTCCCCTCTAGACAACCCCTTTAACGGGGAACCCTGGGATCGCCACAGCAAAGAGAAGGGGGGCATGGGTCACCGCTACACGCCCACCCCCATTTAGGGAAGATAGACTAAAGGATTCCGCCCAAGGCCTGATACCGCCACCTGAGGCCGCAAAATTGTGGTCTCACCGCCCACACTACCTACACCTGAAAACACCCTTCACCATCCGCCAACCAATCCAACAGGCCATGTTTGATTTCTCTCAGCTAATGCTCATTACCAAGGCCTGACAGGTGCACTCTGTCGGGCCTGAATAGTTCCTTCATGTATACTTTAATGCTGGGATGCTTCACAACCCGACTTCCCATATGCGCGGTTGCTGAGCACAGTGCCCTATTGATTTTTTCAACAGTGTAGTTAAGTCTGGTGGGTTTGAGGTTGCCACGCCATTGTAAGCATAGTAGAAGTTCTGACCAGAATATCATGGCATTGGGGTGCGTGGCATGTAAGCTTTCCAAGTCTGCAATCACTGTTTTGATCACTGTTTTGATCTTACGAATGGCCAAGTCATTTTCGCCGAGGTGGAACACAACCGCATTGGGCGGGGGATGAAACGCAAGCTCGTGATGCAACCAAGGAAGCAGGGCATCTGTGCTGCCAAATACAGCAGTTCTTTCCAAAGCTATCAGAACAAAAGGAATGAGGAGGTGGAAGGGGAACCCAAACAGTTTTATTAACAAATAAACAGCAGGCATGCAAAGCATGAAATAAAACATACCCGACAGGGGCTACCCAATCTCCCCTTAAGCTGCCCGGAGCCCCAGGTAGAGCAGCAGGAGAGAGACCCCGACCGTCGGTCTCCCAGCATCAGGTCCTTTGATCTGGGTAGAAGCTCACCTATGGCTTTTATAGCCTGCCTTGATGTAATCAAGTGCTCCTGGCATTATTCATGATTAGCCCAGAACCCTGAGATGGAATTAATAGAGAGTGGCTGAGAGCCTCCCACTACCTGCAGCCAGCATCCAGCCAGCACTTGCAACACAGAAGAACCCAAGAAACTTCCGACAGGTGTGTGAAACACAAGAATCCAGCAGACCTCAAACTGGGGATGTTAAAGGGAAAGGGACATGCCACATAACTCCTCGAAATACAATTGTCTTCCACATTTCCACTACAGCATCCCAGCACATTCTGCAGTGACCGAACCAGGAAATGAGAACCTTTGACTGCAGACCCAGGAGTTCGCCAGGTGGACCGGTGGCAGCATGGGTAGCTGCCCAATGCACTATGCTGTGGCTGAAGATCCACGCATGTTTGGGAGTCAAGCCTGAAAGAAAGGATTATACGGTATCTGTCAGTGCCTGCTGGTTGTGCCTAATGTAGCCTCTGAAGGCAACTGAACGCCACCGCCCCATTGTTTTTATGTGCTCTGTTGTCAGGCCACTTGCAGCTGCTGTGGTTGCTGCACCAATATGAAAAGAATGCCCGGAAAATTGTGCCGGGTTGCCTCCACAGGCATGGAAGGCCTTGCACAACACTGTGACTAATTGACAGTGGGTCATGGGGCAGCCGGATGGAGGTTCCATGAATGGGCCTGCCACCCACCCTAGCAAGTGCACTTTGGTAAGCTGCCTCTCAGCAATGTGCGGCATCTCTCGAACAGACTTTTGGTTGGGGGAGGGTTGGTGCATGAAGGGATACCTACCACTAGGATATGGAAACCTTCCCTGAAGCCCTCCTCAATGTATTTTGCTGCCTCTCTGTTGGGGTACTGGTGGAGAAACGGCAACATGGCTGAAAGAGATATGAGTGAGGGGGCTAGGGAAAGGAGAGCATTATTTGCGGTTATTGCTTCTATTTTGCTGTGGGCCAGAGGAGCCCACGGGGACTCCAGCCTCTTTTTTATCCTGAGGTGTGCCTGTGCCTGATCTGTGTGAACCTTGAAAAGGCTTCTTCCCCAAAAAACATTTTGTGGTGGAGTGGGATCCATTGCAACGTTCGCAGTTGTGAGCGAATCAACATTTCTCTCTGTAACAGGCACCATTGTTACATTCCCAGCCTGATCTCCTGGGGACCTTGGATTGGGGTTTAGACTGTTTTGAGTTGTTGGGACCTTTTCCAATGAATGGGGGAACCAACTCCGACCATGCATCACTATCCTTAAGATCCCACCTAACTGTGTCATCCTCTGTCGCCCGCTCCCTGAATGCTTCATTGTACGCGAGCGTCGCTACCTCCCCAGCCATGGCTTTGGCCTTTAAAATGATAAGCAGGTAGTTGGTCAGGTGCCAACCCCTGTCAGGAAAAGTGGCCACTATCACTCCCATGTAGGTGGAGAATGTGGTCAGCCAATTACGGAAGTTACACCCAACACTCACTTTTTTGTCTTTTTTCTGCCGCTCAGCAGGTTTGGCTTTTAGGCTCGTCAAAGCAGCATGGGATAGCAAGGAAAACAGCTCCACAAACTCCCCATTGAGGATGCGCTCCTGTATTTTCTTGCGCAGGCGAATGCCTGGGGGCTGGTCGGTTCTCTTGAAGTTTGACTCCGTAATGTGACCCCTGGAGTCAATGCCCTCTTTCCCACATGGTGCAACAGCGCCGTGGTCCTGCCTGTGCCTCCGGTTGCAGCACCTCCAAATCCAGTGCGGCAGCCCAGGGGCATGTGGGCCTGTAACCCCGTAGCCCTTAATGCTCCCCACCCCCGTTTGCTATTGGTAGAGCTGGACCTACCTGTTGAGCTAGACAATCCAGAAGATTCCCTTTTTGTATTCTCCTGCTCTTAATAATGAGGGTAATGGCATGGGTTACATTTCCCCTAAGGCCACAGTTCCAAATGCCCATGCTTTCTTGCTTTGGATATCTCTCTGAGGCTTCCTGAAGCCCAGCACCTGTCATGTAATGGGCTGGCCCAAGTTTCTGCCCAAGGTTAAGGAAAATATAGTGTCTCTCTCTCTCCCCGCCCCCCATTCCATGTACAAAAGCTAACTAGGCCGGCAATTGATCCCTACAACAACATTGGTGATGGGACAAAAGTCCTTCACTGAAGTCAAAGGGTTGTAAACTAGCTTAGGGTTTGCAGGGCAGGCCATGTGGCACAACTGATCTGTTGACTCTCTAGCCATCAGCACCTGCTGCCTGAGCCAGCTACCTCACTATGTATATTGGTAGGACCAGTCCTGGATATTTCCCCTCCCTCTCCTTCACTATACAATGAGAACTTGTGAGCTAGTGAGTGTACGCAACAGACCTACCCTCTTAAAAGTCCTGCTTTATAGAAAAACACCTTGCCGAAAGTGTTCTACGTGGAACAGCACCAAAGGCTTACGTGTATGCTCTGCATTTTAACCAGTTTCCTTCCTTTCAGCATACCACAGTAGTTGTGCTATTATATAGTTCCAGACTTTAGCTCATTTCAGCTCTGTAGAGCCAAAATGCAGTGAGGCTGATATTCCCCACAACAGAACTAAAGATTTAAAAGGGCACTGTTTTCTAAATGGTATTATCGCAGGTCAGCATTTCACAATAACTGTGTAATAAACTTTCTTACCTGATAAACCTTAACTTGATTATTTTTATTTTATCAGAGTGATTTTATAGTGAGTATAAATCATTGTAAAGTTATTCATGAGAGGGGGAAAATTATCAGTTGCTGTGGAGCAGACATATTTTCTTAATCTTGGTTCATTCCGTTTGCCCGTGGTTTGACACCAAAATTTAGAAGTGATATTATAGTACTTTAGTACCTTGGAGATAGTACAGGATAGTGCTTTTATATGACCGATGCATAAAAATAATAAATAGCTCTATTATTTCGAAGAAAACAACTACAAGCTAGCAGATAAAACAGGACGTCACAAGTTGAATAATTTAGCCAGACTCCTGTCATGAAGCTATGCTAATGTTGTTCTTAAAGAAGGATATTTGGTTTAAAATAGCACTGAGTCGCCGAATGATGCAAAGGAATCTTGCGGTCATAAAACTTGCTAATGTCAAGCAAGGAAAGTATACAAACTCAACATTTAAACACACAAAAAACCAAACAAACCCACAAACCTAATGAAAATATATGTGTGAGATGTATCAATGAATATAGTCAAACTGCTTGTTGTGAAAGACCCAAGGCCTCAGCCTACCAAAAATCAAAACACTGTATTTTCCTGCCCTGGAAGAGCTCATCAGACTGGAGTTCACCATGGATGATACCATGGACTTAGTTCTCAATTAAAATTAGCTATAGCACCTCAGAATGAAAAAAAAGAATGATTAAATAAATAATCCCTGGCCACCATTACTCTGGCTACTGAGGAGCATCCCTGGCTATATACCTGAATTTTCAGGAGAATGGTCCTATAAGCCACAGCCATTTATAGTTCACCAGCTGCCACAACACTGAGGAACATCTCAATGAGCTATCTGAGGCTCACTCTCCAGTGGTTGTCTGCTTTTATGTTTCTCTAATTTAAATTATCCAAAGGTATAAGGTCCCCAGTAGGGGGACAGACACTTCATAATAAAGGTATCTTCCCTCTTTATATTTTAATCATTCTGCTGGCCACTATGTATTTCATTTCAATTCTTTTAACCATGTATTTGCATTCAATACTTTTTTCATATTTCTGCTTCCCACCCATGGTATAGGCATGTGACAGACAGACCAAGAAATTAGAGCTTGAAAAATCAAACATGGATAATATATATATACTTGTTGTTGTTTAGTCGTTTAGTCGTGTCTGACTCTTTGTCACCCCATGGACCAGAGCACACCAGGCACTTCTGTCTTCCACTGCCTCCCGCAGTTTGGTCAGACTCATGTTTGTACTTAGTGTTCATAAAAAAGTATATACTTAGTGTTATACTTAGTATATACTTAGTGTTCATAAAAAAAGAGAGGCTTACTTGCAGCTAAGGAGCGTCTCCACCCCCATCATTCTGCCCAGACACTGAGGTCCAGTGCCGAGGGCCTTCTGGTGGTTCCCTCGCTGCGAGAAGCCAAGTTATAGGGAAACAGGCAGAGGGCCTTCTCAGTAGTGGCACCTGCCCTGTGGAACGCCCTCCCACCAGATGTCAAAGAAAAACAACAACTACCAAACTTTAAGAAGACATCTGAAGGCAGCCCTGTTTAGGGAAGCTTTTAATGTTTAATAGATGATTGTATTTTTATATTCTGTTGGGAGCCACCCAGAGTGGCTGGGGAAACCCAGCCAGATGAGCGGGGTATAAATATTAAATTATTATTATTATTAAGAATAATAGATGTAAAGAGGGCCCTTTCACTTGTGGCTCCCCAAGTGTGGAATGCTCTCCCCACTGAGGTCCCTTACCATTGATTTTGTGGGATAGGGCTGTTTGGAGTTGTAGTCCAACAACATTTGGCTATCCCTGAAGGGGAGATTTTTGAAAGTCTCACCAGCCTTAACCTGCATGGGATCATGCAACCCCCCCCCCCCCCCGGAATAAAAACCCTGGAATGCCACATGTTCCCCATCTCTGAACTGAATAATCATAGTTTGATTTGCACAGCTGACTGAATGCATATTGCTGACAATTAGAATGACCCCTCTGCCTATATTTGCATGAATTTTAACGCAAATGTGTCAGAGCCTAAAATCAAAGCCAATGTAAATGTAATGATTAAGGCCAGGTGATGTGAGCCAGGAAGTGAGCTGAAATTAACTCTATAGCATTAATTCACCTCTCAGCTAAGCCTCCATCTGCAATATGAGGCTAATAATATTGGATAATAATAGGGTTATTGTGATAATTACTGAAATAATGTATGTGAATGATGCTGTTTGAATACAGTATTCAGAAACCACCATGTAAAAGCTGTTGTTTTATTCCAAGAAGTTTCAAACGTAGCACAGTGGGTATCAACTAACAAAATGTTTGAAATTTAAAACTTAACTTCCTGCTGAATGTGTTGATCTGGATGCCTTCCGTGTCTTTGAAACCTATACATACTATGAACAGAAAATGCCAGAGATTCCCTATCCCAGCCATACTTCTGTATCTCAGAGGATTTGCTAGTGGAAATTAATTAAAGCTCTCACACACTATTTTTCCCTTGAGCCACTCAATATGCTTAAGTGACACGATGGGGGTATGATCCATTTTTCTAAAGCCCTCATTAAATAACTCAATTTGGCTTAAACACACATCATATTTTTTTCATAAGTAGCTGTAATTTCTCTCCTTGACTGCGTAACCTGATCCCATCAAACGGCTTGCCATTGGCAATTTAAATGATCCCTCTGCCTGTAGTAAAAGGACAACTTCAAAATGTGTCTGTGTGCCAGACCCCTGCAAATGAAGAAGTATTAACTGTTATCAAAGTGTCTAACAACTTAAATCGAAATGGGGAAGTTTGACTGGTATGTTGAAGTGGTCCAAGCCCCTTGGGATCTCTTTGAACTAATGCAAATTGGGGGGACGGGGACACACACACCTTTCAATCTACACATGCAACAGAATTGAGAAGAGACTTGTGGGTGTTAGTGCTACAGGTGGGAGATGCCATTCTTTTAAAAATGTTTTCAGATTGTGATTGTGATTATGATTATTATTTTAAAATCAATTAAAACAGACCACCCAAAGCCAGTGTGTGGTGTCCATGAAAAGGGCAAATTCCTAGCTAGGGATCATTCGGAAATGGAAGGAAAATAGAACTGCCAATATCATAATGTTACACAAATCTATGGTGTGACCACATTTGGAGTACCTTGAGGATGGCTATTTTAGAGTTGGAAAAGGTTCAGAAAAGGGCGAGAATCTCCTTGTGTTCATGTTCTGCTCACTGGTTTCCCATATGGTTGACTACTGTGAGAAAAGGACACTGGACTGGACAGGCTCATCTTATATTCTTCTTATATTCTTATGCTCTTAACAAAAAAACACAACCCTAGGATATTGGAAAGAAATATGCTGGTTCAGGGAATTTTTAAAAAATCACAAAGGAGCATGCAAAGAAGAGAAACACACCCCGCATTTGAAGTGGTACATGCCATTCTACTATTGCAGAATTCTAGTATGCTTCTTTTCACCTCATTCGGTTACAGGAGTAGATCAGACTCAAATCCCAGTGAAAGTAACTGAGCATTCGGAAACAATAAGTGTTCTTTCCTAACTCCAGTATATTTCAGAGGCAACTGAAATTAATACCATCCAAACAATTGTCATCTTAATGTGGGTCAATTATTCTTTGGAATTGTTAATATTTGGCAGATATTTGATTGTCAACATCAGCGACTGGCATCGACTGTTTCCTCTCAATAGCAGTAAAAACATTAACCAGCAATTTAAGTTATCTTGGCTTCCTGCCTCACATTTATGTATCTATGTATGTATTTTACTGATGTAAAACATTTATATCTTGCTTTTTGCCACACCTGGCTCTCACGTTAAATAAGTTGGAGTTCTTGTTATTAAATATACCAAGATAAAAGCACACCAAGAACTCTGGCCAATATAAGTTTCAATAGTGGGAGTGGTCCCTACTCGCAAATCAATAGTCAATTGTAACAAAAACTAATCCATTCAAAAGTATGTATTCTGACAAGGATGACAAACTCAAATAGAGATTACAAACTTAAACAGAGATTACAAACTCAAACTCATAAGGATATGCATAACACAATAATTCGTTACAGTATTAAAGAGACGAGTTTGTGAGTAGAGATAAGTTCATGTTAGTCCATAGTAAGATTTGATGTGAAGATCTTAATTTCAATCATTGAGCAGAAGTCAGAAGTCAATTATGGATCAGAAACCAGGACATGGCCCTGTTTCGATGTATTCACCTTCATCAGCGGGAAGTATCAAACGTTACATTAAAATACATTTACCGTATTTTTCGTCCATAAGACGCACCTAGTTTTTTGGGGGGGAAATAAAAGAAAAACATTTTTCCTTTATTTCCCCCCCCAAAACCAGGTCGGGGAAACCAAACCAGGTCGAGGAACAGTGGGATGGCGACGCTGCGCCTCCCTGCTGTCCCCCGAGCTTGTGGGGCTGGCCGATGTCTGCCCAGCGCACGGGGCGCTCTGCTTCAGGGTGCCCTGCGCGCCGGGCGGCAGGCTGCTATCCGCACCGTGGAGAGCCCTGCGGGGAACTCCTGCAGGGCTCCCCACGCTGCGGATGTCTGCCTGGCGCGCGGGGTGCTCTGCTTCAGGGTGCCCCGCGCGCCGGGCGGCAGGCTGCTATCTGCAGCCTAGACAGCCCTGCGGGAACTCACGCAGGGTTGCCTAGGCTGCGGATGCGTTCCCGAAGCGCCGAGTGCTCTGCTTTCAGCGCGCCTGGCGCTCCGGGAAGCAAGCTGCTATCTGCAGCCTAGACAGCCCTGCGGGACCTCCCACAGGGCTGCCTAGGCTGTGGATGTGTTCCCGAAGCGCCGGGCGCTTTGCTTTCAGCGCACCCGGTGCTCCGGGAAGCAGGCTGCTATCCGCAGCCTAGACAGCCCTGCGGGAACTCCCGCAGGGCTGCCTAGGCTGCGGATGTCTTCCTGAAGCCTGCATTCGCCCCATAGGATGCACCCAGATTTCCCCTTTATTTTTGGAGGGGAAAAAGTGCGTCCTATAGGGCGAAAAATACGGTAATTTCTAAATTATCATAAGGTAAAGGTAAAGGTACCCCTGCCCGTACGGGCCAGTCGTGTCCGACTCTAGGGTTGTGCGCCCATCTCACTTAAGAGGCCGGGGGCCAGCGCTGTCCGGAGATACTTCCGGGTCACGTGGCCAGCGTGACGAAGCTGCTCTGGTGAGCCGGCACCAGCGCAGCACACGGAAACGCCGTTTACCTTCCCGTTATAAAGCGGTACCTATTTATCTACTTGCACTTAGGGGTGCTTTCGAACTGCTAGGTGGGCAGGAGCTGGGACCGAAAGACGGGAGCTCACCCCGCCGCGGGGATTCAAACCACCGACCATGCGATTGGCAAGCCCTAAGCACTGAGGTTTTACCCACAGCGCCACCCGCGTCCCATTATCATAAATTATCATAAATTATAAAACAGTATTATACAACATTATAACACCTGGCTCTCACAGCAGCTTAGTTAAGCCACATCTTCTAGCCATGCCGTCTTCCACACATTGGAGGGGGAGACTTGAGGTAGCGAGTCTGCCTATATTTTAAGGATCTGTGTGACTTAGAACGGTGTGTGATCACATGTGGAATTTGCTCGCATAGACCAGGTTCTCCCTCCAGCACATGGAAGGAAGTTTGGGTGTATCCTGATTTTCATTTATTTCATAGAATTTGTTCAATATTTCCTTAGCCCTTTTAACCCTTTTGATCATCTCTCCATACCTCCTCGTTCATTCTCCACCTTCCCTTAGTATGATTTTGAAAATTCATATATACCGATACTGGATTGTGATCTGATATCGATCTATTCAGTATCTCTGCTTTTTCTAAACTCAACATCAACCTTTTTGATAGCCATATTGCGTCAATTCATCCCCCAGATTTTGTTGCCTCCGAGTAGTGGGTTATGTCTTTAGCTCTTGGATTTTTTTGTTCTCCAGACATCATATAAATTAAGATTCTCAATTATTTTGTTCTTTTTTTCTTTTTTCTGATATCTTATCTTTCATTTCACTCCTTTATTGTGAATAGCATTTTATAGAGGTATAAATAACTGTAAATATGAAAAGAGACAAAGTATTCTCTAATTTTTTTTCCTTGGTTATATGTATTTTCTTTTTCTTTTGTTGTAAATATGTATCTTTTCTAATTTGTACTTAATAAAAAATATTTAAATATTTTTTTTAAAAAAAAGGAAGGAAGTTTGGGGCAGAACATGGCAGAACAGCCTCACTCTCGCCTCCTCTCCCGCTCACAAATGTCATGAGCAGAACCCCAGAAAATGGCTTCATTTAGACATCACAACAAACAGCATTCCACATATGACAGCTATGCCCCAAAGCATTAGGTGAATTTTATAGTAACATCATTTGTTAAAACAATTAGGAAACGTTACTTTAAATAGGTGAGACCCCCATATGATGGATTGCTTTAGAACTGAAAATTTTGGAGTCAAAACCTACAGGCTGCAGTATACTTTTCACTCCCTGTGAGTGAAGATGGATGTGATTATTATACAGGCTACATTTCAGACCAAGTTATACTTTATGGCTAATGAAAAGGGGGAGATAAAAAAATACATATATATTGATATGCCCTTAACAGTGACATTGAAAATGGTGGCCTTATAAAATATTCTATGGCATTTTTTATGATTGTGCTTTACATTTCACTGCTAGTTTGTGCACCAAATAGTCATAATACAGCTATTCAACTGGAAAGAAGAATAAGTATTCTGTGCCCCTTCCAAAGCCAATGGGACTTCAATTCATGGCATCTTTAAAAAAGAGAGATGTATACTACAATTTATCCAGCGGTCAGTTGGCTGCAGCATTCTAGATTTGTTCCCCTCGTCAGTTTGCATGGAATGTTCCGGGTGATAAAACCTTAATTATCCCAGAAAGCAATTCTTGTATGAACTAATACGGCCACATTCTTTGCCTTTGTCAATGAGAGAAAAGGTCTATTCCCTTTAAAATACAAGCATGACATGGCTGCTCTCCCATTGAAATTAAAGCGTACTCGATCTGCGCAGAATTGGAAATGTGGTCGAAATGCAGGCTTGCTAGAGGAATATTGCGAATTAATCTTTACTTTACTGCAGTGTTAGTGTTTGCCTAAAAATCAATCTGTCTGGCATTTTTATGGCCATTCTGCAAATGGAAAAGGAGCAAATGAGCCATTTGCAGCTTTTATTCTCTGTATACAGCCATGCCTTGCATTTTCCATTCGCCTAAGCCTCATTTTTTCCCCAGCGCAGAATTCCTTGTCCTGCAATATAGTTGAGACTCTAATTATTAGTTATGGCTGGGGTTTTGGCTCCCAGCCCCCAGAGACCTACCTAGCAGAGCACACAAACCACTGAGTGCAGACGTGCATTAAAATTTGGTTTTAAAGATGTAGGAAATAGCACTGTAATGAAATATCCTACAGTTAATTCAGGAGGGCTAAAGCTACAAAATGTGCCAACTTGATTCAAAGCATAAACTATTGTTATATTGTACATATTTTCTTTTACCGGTATTTGGGCCATAGCTTAGGGCACCTGAGGGGGAAGGCAGGAAATATGCACGCCGTGATTCAAAAACTGGTATATTTCCAAGGTCACAGCAGTGTTATTATTTAAAAATTGTGGCTGGAGTTTTGAGATGGGAAACATAAAGTTTTCTGTCTGACTCTCAACTCTCAATCTCCTAGTGCCACACAGACTGAAGCAGAAGGAAAGCTTAATTGGGTGTGGCAAAATTGTTCCCCATCCATCTGGCCAAAACAAATGAATATTTTCCTTCCAGGCATATTAGAGAGAAATAAGCTGATCAAATCCAACCTTTAGCATAGATGAAAACAATCAGCCTATGATTTTTTCCTTTTCTTTTGTGCAAGAAATGAACAATGGGATTTCAACATTATTATTATTTTTAATTAATCCCTAAAGATGTGATCTGTCAGGAATGGTAATATGCATTTACCAGCTTCAAATTTCTTGGTTTTGGTTTTGTAAGCTTTAGGGGAAAACAAACAGTGAGAATGTCAGGAAGAAATAATGTGACTGGACAATAAACTGATAGTTTAAATTCATTGTTCATTCTTGCAGGATGATGCCTTTTGATAGACCTTCTTTCTGTGTTGGTATAAATTCAATTTTCAGTAGTGAACACTAGAGACAACAGAGCCAATGGTTCACTGAATTAGTATGAGAGCAGCAGAATAACATTATTATATCATTATACACATTTCTGTGTATATAATGCATCTTTATTTTTATTTTTTCCATTTTTCTGCATACCCTATCGATGGAAGGATCTGAGGACCTCCAAAAGGGAATCCAAAAACATATAACTAATCCAAAGGCATCAGTTGTCTCAAGTTGTGGTTCTGGATAACCCTAAGGCTCTTTGGAACCTACAGAGAAACCCTCAGTGACATGACCAGTGATAGAAGACACATATTGCTGAATGAAAGCTTGTCCGCCACTGTCAATCAACCCCTGTAATAGAAGAGTGCTGGCTGTGTTCTTGGGGATACTCTCAAGGTTATCTACACTTGCTTTTTGCCCTGCTTTTTTTCAGGCATAAATCTCCATGTTGGGGCCATCTTTTGTGTGTGTGTGTGCTCTGGAGCTTTCACTGGGAAACCCCACTATTTAAAGCTGAAGTGCAACAAATGGTAATTCGGGTTCACCATTTGTTCCAATTCAGCTTTAAAGGGTGGGCTTTCATGGGGGGAAGCTCCGGGGCAAAAGAAGAGGGAGCGCTCTGAGATGCTGCTTTAAAACGTGGAATCGGGCAACCTAAAAGCAACACGACAGGCTAATAATTTGATTACAACACTTTGAATGAAGATACAATTTAGTAGCTATATAGAGTCAAGTGGCATACAATGTATACAAGGTAACACCAACTAATGTGACTTCAGAGAATTTCCCAAAGTAGGGGATTTTTTCAATGGTGTATCAAACAGAGAATGATTCAAGCTTGAGGCAACATGCTTTCCAAAACAAGTATGAAGTTCCAACCACAGTGCTTCAGTGGCAGTAGCAGGACAGTCCTTTCTGGATAACCGACTGTTTCAAACTTTCTTCCTCAGCAAATAAGAGGTCCAAGAGGCCTACATAGGTTACAAATGGTTCAGCTTTCAGTAAATAGTGTACTTAGCTGACATGGAATGCCTGGAATGCGCAGAGGAAAGTTAAGTATGGCTAAGCCCTTTGTTCCCACAAATACTGAATTATGTAGAAAACATATGGCTCTGGAGTAAAGAATCTGAGGCTGCGGGTGGAGGCTTGCATGATGAGAAGAAAAAAATATTCCTGAGCATAGAAAATGAAAATATCAGAAAATACTAAGACAGAAAACAATATGTTAGGGGGAAAATGCTATGGATTTTCTTTCTCTTTTAAATGACTATGGAGGAGGCAGAGATGCTTGAGGAATCTTCTGTTTGCACATTTCTATACAAAGTCACCTGATCTGCATCTCTTGAACAATTGTGCTTCAACTCTGCATTTTGTGCTTCTCCAAATGTTATGACACAGTTTGCAGCAGTTTGAATATGCAGAGGTGTTTTTTTTCTTCTTCTTTTAAATGCAAGTTAATGCAGAAATATGTACCCATCTCCATATTGAAGCAATGCTGTCCTGACATAGGTTTACCACTTCATCTGATGTTTTATGGGACCAGGTTTTAGTCTATGCAGGGTGACACTGAGGCCACAAAAAGTCTGCCTGAAATGAGTGAGCAACCTAAGCCTCGAAGTACGTAGTGCTTCTGTGACTGACAAACAGGATAATTCTTCAGCACACTAGCTGATGAGAAAAGGATTCCCTGGAGGTAAAAAAATAAAATTGGTTACTTAGCAACTACCCAGGATGCTACTCAATTACTTCTGGATTAGACGGCATGCTGATTGATTGCTAGGCATTCATCAAGTTGCTCCATTCCTGGAACTGGCAAAAGAGCCAGCAGCAAGGCAGCATAAATTAGTCTGCTTAGGAAAGATGACAATAAACAGTTAAAGTGAAACAGCGAGACATAAGGGGAGGGGGAAGGACTATATAGATATGATAACATGCATGCGGAAGTGTGGGTTTTGTGAATGGGGTACATAAAAGCAATGAAGATGCTTTGTTTTGCCAGTGTTGACCTGTTTACTGACAGGAAGTTGTTCCATTGGCATGTACCAACATGTGGCATAAGTACCAAATTAGATGGTATCCAGTGTTACACAAGTGGAAGGCAGCAGATATTTCCCTTTCCCCCTGCATTCCCCCTTCTGAACTATGTGGCTGGTGTTGTACTGGGCTTCAGTGGGATGAGTGAAATGCACAAAATCAGACAGGACCTCCACAAACAAACAAATAAAAACATGACCACAAGAATGGGCAAGGGAAACCCATTGGTACTACATAAAGCTCCTTAGGATAGGTGTGAATATAGGTATCACTGCACACTAGCTATTCTTTAACAGCTTTAGTCCATTTGTGGGTGTATCATGGTTTTTCTCTCACATCCTGGTATTTTTTGTGTCCGATACCAATATTTATGTATATTCTTCTGTGGAGATGCACTGCTATGATCAATGGTCAGAAGGCATGAGAGCCTACTATGTATAGCTTTCCAGAATTTTCCTGGAATAACACAAATGTATTATTATAACCAAGGAGCATCTAGTTTATAAGTCTGCACACTAGAAGAGGGACACTTATGACGATATACATTGTTCACATTGTAATCTGTCTAATATGTCAGGGATGAGAACTGTCATCTCTTAGATGGTGGTTGTGTTCCTTTTTTTCCATTTTCAATTTCCTTCTTTGACGTCTTCTTTAGGAAAAAAATCATGTCGCATACCA